TGGATCAGACATGTTGATTTCAGATCCGGATGATTTTTCATCACCCATGTTGATGGACTGTGTAGGTTGGTTGTTTGTGTGTTTGGTTTTGGTAGCGGAAGACGTGCTGAACAGAGTCACCTATGTTGGTGCTCTGATACCATGAAAGAATGTAGAAAACTGTATATTGTATTGATATCTTGAGATCGTAATATACAAAGTTTATACAGAATGGAAGTTCTATTCTAAGTAAGTATGGAATCTATTCTAAGTATGTAAATCACAATAGGTGTAATGACCTCAATCTTAGTTAATTACTAAGATTGAGGTAATCACAATAGTTGACCAATTTCTTCCCTTTAACACTTGGTTTTTCATGTAAAGCACAAATGCTAGTTGTATGGCCCAGAGCCAAACATTTGATGTACTTTAAATCTTTAGTATTCAATAATACTGCATAACTGCTGATATTTACATGAATGTTTCATAAAATTGAAGTGGAGAAGAAACTATCTTAAGAGTTGAGAATGAGTTTGGGTGGCTTGAGTGAAAACACTTTATCCATCAACACAAGGAGATGGTGAAGGCATCTTATTATGGCGGGATCATTTGCATCCTCCAGAGCCTTTCTTTTTCAGAATACGGGTAGATTTTAATCATTAAACTAGGAATGTAAATGCTAGATGTTACAAACATACAAATCTAATCATAATCAACACTACGTAGTTACAAACATACAAGATCCATCCACAATTGGTACATATACAGCAGAATCAGAGCAGCATTGTTCCCTCACAGATTTGGCTAAGAAAGAGAAACTAGGAATGTAAGAAAGGAGAAGTTTCGTGAGAGATTTGGCTAAGAAAGAGAAAATAGAGAACAGAGTTCTTCCTGCAGCTTGACAGATGCTCTGTCTGCTAGAAGAGAAGAATGGAGAAGAAAGGTGAATAGTGCACGAGGTTGCTGGGTTTTTGCAAGTTAGAGAGAAAGCTTGCTCTCCGAATCTGAGTTGCATTTGTGTTCACCCATTTTGCGTTTACTCCTGTGGTGGAAGTGCAAAGTTTCCCACTGCCTTGTGAACCATTGACTGGTCAACAAGTCAGTTTTCTTTGGCGTGCGAGCGTGCCACTGCTAGCAATGAAGATTCTAGCAGACCTAGTTTAGAATAGATAACTTGCGCCCCAAGTTACTGATTTCTGCAAACAAAACGATTGTGAATTTAGGTGAGGAATATCTCCCAAGTAAGTTCTTTTTCCTGCCTCAGACTGGTGAGGACTTTAAATCAGTATAAAGAGGTTGTTCTGGCCAGAATGGTTGATGAAATTTAAACTGTCTCGGGCAGAACTGCCTTTTACAGAACTATAAAAATAAATATCCATGCTAGAAAGATGAAAGGACAGTTGGAAATTCATTTCTGTCTGGATAGGAGGCTCTGATCCGGGCTGGACTAGACTGTTGACAACTTCAACTGCTAAGCTTCAGCTGTAAATCGATACCAAAGGTTAATTCTGGCAGAGCTTTAATGTACTTCAAGCTTTTGTGAGGCTTTTGAGTGGGCAGAACTGCGGTTTCTTCAGTCTGCAAGGACAGAAGTGGCTGTTCTCGAGGACTTCAGTGGGTTAGAGACTGCACTGTGAAATTTGTTGAGGTTTTCATGTTTGGGAAAAGCTCAAGCTCTACCTGTCTTAGTTCTTTGCTGAACCAAATTTGTAACGAGAGAAATCTCGTTTTAATTTACTTATTTTCTAAGTCTGAACCTTGGGAATTCTGATCTAAAGTTGGTTTCACTTGGAATTCAAGTGGGCTTTTGGTTGATTTTTGAGTTGTTTGTTTGTTTGATGATTTTTTTTTGTAAGATTGATTGTTTGTTTTTTTTATTGTCTCTTCCAAAGTTTGCTTATCTCTTGGGAGAATCACTTATAGAAGAAATATCTCTGAAATATATTAATATGTAAGGGGATTTGATCTTTCCGAATTTCAGAGATGTCCCTTCCTAGTTTTTGCCAACTACTGACCCTTCCATTTATCAACTTTGTGGCAGTTGATTTTTTTGACTTTTCAAAGTCTGAGAAAAGAACTTCACGTGGGGTTTCTTCTAAAAGTATTTCTTTCCAGAATTTTGTTTCTTTTGGGCCCTTTTTGAGAGATGGTAATGATCTAGGCCCAACCCGATTTCTTCTCTCTTTGATCTGCCTAGAACGAATTTTGCCCCTCTTTTGTGTATTTTTACATTTCTGCCATCCTTTTGAAAAAACGTGGGCTGGGTTCTTTTCCTGTTTGATTTTTTGAAGCCCAGGTCCTTTGCTCTACGGGCTTTTTGAGAAGTGGGCCTGTGTGTTTTTGCTTTTGGCCCAAACAATTTGTTAGGTAGGAGAAGCCTCAATTTATAGCCGCTGGAAACCACCACTTCTCAAGAAACCCTAATGGGATCTACCTATTTTGGCCAAGCTTTTCCCCTCCTTTCTCATCTCCTTCCTTGGGTTTTCCCATTTTGATGAAATCCCTTCTGTCTATTTGCACCATATCAGAGTTTTTTTTTAAGCTCAAGGCCCCTTTTTCCCGCAGCTGTCTCAATGACAGACTTCCATTCCCAGCCATCTCTTTTATTGCTTTCCTCTCTTTTTTCCATGGCCAAGTTTGATGGGGAAAGGAGTTGGGATATACATGTTGGTTCGAAGGGTGCTTCTGGCAACTCGCAGGCTAATATTCCTTGGTCCCCTTGAGTGTTTCTTGCTTGGAACTTGCTCCCTCCATGTACTGGAACCTCCCAGCAGCTCTGTTCAAAGAACCTGCATACCTTCTCTACGTGGCTTCTATTTTTCCAGCAAAGGGCTAAGGCTTTTGAGGCTTGTTTTTGGAGTTTTTTATGGGCCAAGGTGATTCCTTAAGCAAGTGTGCTATTTTTGTTAAACATTGGGCTTTTTGGTTGTGTCAATAGGCTATTTTGCTTGGGCTATTGGGCTATTTTTCTCTCTTGTGCTCACCCACATGTTTGGGCCTAAGAAATGAGCTTGAGTCTCGAGGCTCCCAAGTAACCCGAGACTTTCCATTTCTCGGCCCATCAATGGGCCTCATGTTGATTTATTACCATCCATACCACAACCCACTCAAGCAAGCCTCGGGCATTTGAGCGGCTTGGGCTCGCTTAGGCTTGTAGCGTGGTTGGGTGCGAAATAACAATTTTGTGCTTGGCATGGCATGTTGCTTGGCATGGCATATCGCTTAGCATGCTTTTAATTATTATGCCTGACCGGATAATTAGCATGGATTTGTAGAGCTAATGCATATTATGATCTTAATCTCGATTCCTAGCATGACGGATTATTTATTTGGCATTGCACGTGGAGTGTGACTCATGCATGGCGGATTTTTGTGTGCTCCAAGTTGGGTTTTTTCTCAATAAGGTATTGCGTTGGGTCGGGAATTCATTTGGGTCAAGTCGTGGATTTTTTGGGCCTCAACAAAGTCTAATTTGAATGTCTCCTTACACCCTTTGGAGTCTTTAAAAAAATATACATATATACTTTTTTTCTTAACTAATTTTTGAACAAGATGATAAGAAAATTGTAAAAACTTTGGATAACAAATTTAAGGAAATATTAAAATCAATACATTTAATAAGGGCAGATTTGAAAAACAAATGTTAGCTTGTTTGATGCATTAATTACATTGTCTTAAGTTTTAAAAAAGTGACATATGTCAAGAGAAAAAGGGAGACGCACATACCCGCCAAGTTGGATTCCAATTGCTTTGGATATAGATCACTCAAGTGCTGGAACCCACTCCATCTCTTTGTCTCCAGCCTTTTAACAAAGATGGAATGAGCCGTCATTTCCCCATTTGAAAAGCCCACGGCATGACAAATGAAGAAAGCAGTGAAGGCATCTTATTATGGCGGGATCATTTGCATCCTCCGGAGCCTTTCTTTTTCGAAATACGGGTAGATTTTAGGGAGTTTCACTAAAACACCCAAAATGGGGGGTTGAAATTATAAAAAAACCCAAGCACTATTTAAACATATAAACACACCCAAAACCCATCATTACACACACTCAAAACCTATTTATAAACACACCCAAAAAGTTGACTTTGGGGTTGATTTTGGGTGTGTTTCTATGTTTAAATAGTGCTAGGGTTTTTTTATAAATACATGTCTAGGATTGGGTTTATTTATAAATTTGTATAGATGTTAATCATTAAACAAGGAATGTAAACGCTAGATCTGAAAGCAGATTCAAGGATTTCCATAAAAATCATAATCAACATTACGTAGTTACAAACATACAAGATCGATCCACAATTGGTACATATACAGCAGAATCAGAGCATCATTGCTCCCTCACAGATACACACATCACCTTAACATATGCTCTTATTCTTTTATTGAATTACACGGAGTTTCTGACTATGTTTCTTCTTCTTTTGTTCTCTTATTCGTTTATGGAATTACATATATTACTTGGAAGCAGCTGACCCGGTAAAGGGTGCCTAGAATGATACTTGAATATCAAGCAATGTCATCAACTGAGAAAGAAGCTCTGGTTGGCCATGCCACGCTGCTGCGGTAACCAGATTTCCATCAGTGACACAACGATCTATTGGATCTGCTTCCACAAACGTCCCCCCTGACAAAACCACACGAGCCTTAATCCCTGGGTATCCAGTACATTTCTTCCCCTGAAATATAGCCAATTGAACCAATTATGACATGCTAAAAAGTGCCTAATCAGAAAATAAGTACATTAACCACTAATCAAAAGAAACAGAAAAAATATCATCTTGTTTGCGATTTTAAGGAGTACTCACCTCCCTCTTCCCCATAGTTATTTACAATTGAGAGGTTAATAGGTCACAAAGCACTAGATGTAACCTTTTTTTTTCCCTTTCAAGTACAATCGATAAAGTGTTTCAATCTGTTTTACTTTTTCTTTAATAAGTAGCATTAAACCTTGAAGCATTATATTAATGTTTTAGTGACAAACGTTTAACCACACACTATGTTTTTTCTTTAAGAACCATACCTGCAGAACACCAGCAGCAACTAAAATTTCCAGGCCATGGCAGATGGATGCAACTGGTTTCCTGGCTTCCATAAATTGTTTCACTAGTACAATAACATCCTCTTTTATTGCCAAAAACTCTGGAGCTTTACCTCCAGGGAGTACAAGAGCGTCATAACTTGAGGCATCTATGGATTCAAAGTCAGCTGTTAAGACAAAATTATGTCCCGGGATCTCACTGTACGTTTGGCCGCCTTCAAGATCACGGATAGCAGTTGGGCAGGTATCACCGGCTTTCTTCTTGGGGCAAACCACATCAACATGGCATCCTAGAACTTTGAGGGTCTGATAAGGCACAGTTACCTCATAATCTTCCGCGTAGTTCTACAAATATTGGGGAGGGGAGCAATTAAATGATGATGATTAGTAACTAACAGTTTAATCATTGGCTATATTTTGTCCTATATTTGTCATTGCAATATAAAAGAAACAGAAAAGAAAGCTTACTCCAATGATGATGAGGACCCTTCTCTCTGAAGCACATATGTTGCCGCCTAGTGCCTTGAGAAAAAGCCCAATGAACTCAGGATTGCCATAATATGTGACCCCAGTAATTAAATTATCATCAGCAACACACATTGACAATGTATCGGGTTCTACCCAGTGAGCACCAGCAGCAACCAATCCAGGTTTCATAGTTGAAACTGCTGTGCACTTGCGACCCTTAACAGCGCCTGTAGGTGCTAAGACCAACAGCCCATGGCAAATAGCAGCAATTGGCTTTCTGGAGTCAGAAAATTTTCTTGCCAATTCTACAACCGATGCCTTCATAGCAAGATGTTCAGGAGATCGTCCTCCTGGTATAACTAGACCATCATATTTGTCAAATTCGATGTCATCAAATGTTGCATTCAGTGTGAAATTGTGACCGCGAGATTCGCTATTAGCCTGTAACCAAAAAGGTACACAAAAGAAAACCAAACACAACACACACATTAAAACAAGAGTAATGGTTAGGTGAATTCAAGCTTCTTTGTCTTACTTGTCTCTCAAACTCAAACTCGTCAGAGGTTGTTTTCCAACAACTGTGTTCAATATTAAATATATAAAATCTATTCCTCTTGTTTACAAATAAAAATGAAATGCAAAGCAAATTAATTAATTAACAGGAAAGACAGAGTTTGACCTGGTCAGTGGACTCTACTTGAATGGTTATGGCAGTGGCGCAGATATCACCAGCTTTCTTGACAGGAGAAACTGCATCAACAGAGACTCCGAATGCCTGCAGTGCTTGAAATGGGACCATAGCCTCGTAATCTTCCATGTAGTCCCCGCACAGTAACAACACCCTCCTCCGCTCCTCGCCTTTCGGATTCCCCATTTCTTTTCTTATTTCCTTCTTTAGGTTCTTTCTTCCTTTTTCTTTCTTCTTTCTTCTTTTTCAGAGAGACAGAGAGAGTTTTCAGAGAGAGAGAGAGTTCGAGAGTCTGTATACAAGAAGGTAGGTTATAGCTTGAGCTGCTCTGCTTTGCTTACTTAAATACTCATAAAGGCGTTTTTGGAGGTTTGTGGAGTCAGCTAGATATGGTCGCACGCAATTTGAGCAACACATCGCAGTCAGTTATCGTGGCATCTCTCTATTCGCCGCTTCTTTTCAGTTCGAATAACTATTCTATTAGTTTCGAGCCAGTGACCGTATCCAAGTTTGATATGTTTTTTGGTTGTCTTCTTCACTGACCAAGTGAGTCTAAATTATTGGAGGAAGATTGAAACTTGAGTTTGTTCTCTTCACGGACCAAGTGAGTCTAAATTATTGGAGGATGATTGAAACTTGAGTGCAAAGAGGCGGATTTATTCTCTTATTGTGAATACAAGTGATGGTCTAAATTATTAGAGAAATATTCTAACTTGAGTGCAAAGAACACAAATTTAAGTGCAAAGGATCAAATTATAGTGCAAAGAAGCGTACTCACTGTCTTATTGTGAATGAATATTCGAATATTTGAGCTCAATTCTTCCTTTTCGATTGAAAAAAAGGAAGCTCAATGCTTCCAAGCTAATGTCCCTATACTATAGAAAAGCTCTTTAGTGTTCTCATCTTCCTCTTGCCTTCATTGTAGCACGTGTGTGGCCCAATAGAAAAGCTAATGTCTCTATACTGTAAGGACCATGCGGATAAATAAATGTAATGTTTATCTCTAACAGGTCATGCTTTTTGAGCCGTGACAGTTTTGGAATAGCGTTCGCGTGGATTTTACCTCGACTGCCATGTTGATTTTCACCAGAGCAGCAAAGCTGCTTGCTTTGTGTTATGAGGTCTGGTTTTGTCAACGAACTACATTGCTTGACCCAAAAGAAAATGCAATATCATGTGGATCCTCATTTTGCAGTTACAGGATGGTTGTGAAAATACAAGCTAACTCTGGCAATATTATGTGGATCCTCCTTTCTTCGATGATCTTCATTGGGAAACCTGCTCGATTTGCATATTTTTTATAAAAATCAAGCACCTCATCAGCTGTGTTAAAAATCATATTTACCTTAGGTTCTTGTATTGTTTCTTCCTGGCTCATTGTATTTTCCAGTCCAGTCTCACCAATCTCAACCTCATCATTTTCTTCACTCATCTCCAAATTTGAATGGCTTCTTGAACATTCCAAATATTAATATAAACTTCCTGTAATACATATGCAATAATACACATTCAGTTGACATTATAGTACCCAGTACCCATGAACTACACGCTAGCTAGACCCCAACAAATTGCAATAATACACATTCAGATACACATTCAGTTGACATTATAGTAGCCAGTACCCATGAACTACACGCTACAAATTGCAATAATACACATTCAGTTGACATTATAGTACCCAGTACCCATGAACTACACGCTAGCTAGACCCCAACAAATTGCAATAATACACATTCAGCAAACATACCTAGTAAGTGATTGTTCAGCGACAGTAATTTGCAATAGTATCTAAACTCAGTGACTCAAAATTTCAAATTGTCGTGAGTTAACATATATAGTAAATGAGACCACTTCAAAATAAAAGCATTCTCCCGTGTCTTCTCAAACGACTTTGCAATAGAATCACTCATCCACTCAAGGAAACTTTTAACATAATTAATTGTACTAGATGCAACATATGTTAGAAAGAAGATGGGATAGTTCAAATTTTCATCTGCCCAACACTGCAATTAATGGAAGAACCAATATAAATCATTATAGTATAGTTGACACAAAACTTATGTGTTGTCAATACAAAACCTCATTCATTCACAAAGTATAATACTTGTTCATTCCATGCATGTTTCTTCAACAGGAAAAAGGAAAATAAAGAAGACAAGCAAACATGAATTTTACTGTAGATGACAATTTTTAAGACAAAAATCTTGAGGTAGCTAAAATTCCTTGTTCGTAAGGTACCTGTAAATTCCTTGTCCTTTTGGCGTCTATAAGGCTGATTGTTCAAAGCATTATAGGCATCTGTTATTAATAACAGCAGGGCGCACAAAGTTAAGAACCTGTACAACAATTTTTACAACAAAATTACACTAAACATTGGGTATGTACCTCAAGCTTCAACCTCTCTGTCAGACAGGCTATTGGAGAAGAATAGACCAGTGAACCTCTCCATTCTTCAACCCACCCAATTGCCTAGGACTGCAAATTTCATTCTTATTGAGAAAAGCAGAGTAGAGAATGAGAAGCAAAATGAGAGAAGCAGAGTAGAGAATACGGTAATTGAGGGGACTCCAACTCTCAGCCACGTTCTAGTGATACTCTTATCAGAGTGCAGCAACAATGGAGGAACGGAGTGTTATGGAGACACGAGGAAGAATTGAGAACGACGTGAGGCCACTTGCCAGGGACGTTAGGGTTTTTTAATTTGATTTGTAATTTTTAATGTTTTTGTTTTTTTAAGGATTATTGAAAAAAGAAAAAGAAAAAATAGAGTACACATAACATCATTCATTAATTGACATGGCAAGATACATCAGCTGCCACATAAGGTGGTCAGCTAAGGTGGTCAATATTGTGTGTCTAAATGGCATTACTCTTAAAACAAAGGGGACCAGAAAGACATATATATAGCATTTGAAGATTTGTAAATTAAACACAGATCACGATTCAACAAACCTAGATAGCCCATTATCAGATTATTTTTACTTAGAGACGAAGGCACTAATGCAATTTTGTTTATTGAATATGGTGTACGCAGTACAGGTCGGTTCTCTAGCTCATAATGAATCAGCAAGCACTCTAACAAAACTCCTAACATGTGTTCTTGTTTGAGCTTACTTTAGTCTCGCTGTCCACACAACCTAGGACTATAACCTACGGATTGCTATTTGTCAATCTAATAATAGAGTAGCTCTAATCAACAATAAAACTTATTCATTTTGTCTATAATTCAGGTACCAACAATTGGCTGAAGCAAAAAACTAAACTTGAAAGCGTGATGTTCGTTCGTAAACTTGACAAAACTAATTTCCAGTCCCAACAGATTCCAAATGTTAGAGGAGGCAACATAATCCCATATGTGAGAATTGTAAGCACTTCAATCTTTGAGACAAATTTCTTGTTTTGGGTTTACAAATTCAAGTGAAGTAAGCATTCAATCTTCAATATAATTGAGTGTGCTTGATTACAGAGCATGAAAAAGACCAATTGACAGTGCTCAAGTCATGTAATGAGGCTAAATAAATTTTTATCATATAATCATTAAATATGTTCACTAAAATATGTGTCATCATTATATGTAAATTTTCTAGAAATATATAAGCTTGCTAGGATGTACGTGATTTCGAATTTGGATCCATAAAATATTATTACCTACTACATCATTTGGGGAACAGATTTGATGTTTCTAACAATTCCATGCGTACTAGTAAAGTACTTTGTCTTTATTAATTTGGAAGTACCCGAAAGCATAATATTTTTCATATATTATCCGGCAGGAGGCAATTCAAGAAAGAAAGCCATCATTATTGGAGTCGGAGGTGTAGGTCTTTTTATTCTCATTGTTGGAGTTTTTCTCTATTTTAAACTTTCAAGAAAGCCCGAGGCTGCCACAACCACAGAATTCGAAGTAGCACTTCCTCTTGCATATATACTATTATTCAATTATCTCCTGCTCTAACC